GCTTGAGTTCATTTTGAACTTTAGCTTTCCTGACTTCATCTTTGCAGGATCGGGCTATATCCTGATATTCTGTCTTAGTTATGTACCCCTCTTTCCATTTTTTATACTTGTGCTTTTTGTCTTTCAATTTATCAGAGAGTTCTTTGTGCAGCCATGTTGGTTTCTTCTGGGATCTCTTATTTCTCTTCTTCAATAGTATTGTGCTAGATTGGGCTTTTATAAACTCACTTTTTAAAGTTTCCCAAGCTTCTTGGGATGTTTTCCCCTTAAGGATTTCCATCCATGGAATTCTTCCCAACAGTAGTAGTTTTCACTTACCTTCACTATCACTACCGGAACTGTGAGCACGTGAGCACTTCCTTTGCTTGTGTGTGGCACTTCTGCACATGTGCAGAGTGTCCATGATGACGTCCAGGCAGGTGGGTTGAGTCTCCCACCGCCGCTACCGGTGTGCCCAAACCAGGGTGAACCAATAGAAACCCACCACTGCTTCCCAAGCACTCTCAAAAGTTTGTTGAAATCGACTCTCTTAAAGTCCAAGAATCTAGTTTGACTTTGTTCTATTGCTTATGCTTGCATTATGTTGAATTCTAATATTGCATGATCACTCTCCCCCAAGTTTCCTGTAACTTCAACCCCTTCTATTATATATTACATCCAGTTTTGGCTGCAACGATGTAAAAAAGATGTGGAGACACTAGAAAGAGTGCAGAGAAGAGCCACAAAGGTTATTAGGAGACTGGAGGCTAAAACATATGAAGAACTGGGTATGTCTAGTTTAATGAAAAGAAGGACTAGGGGAGACAGGATAGCAGTGTCCCAATATCTCAGGGGCTGCCCCAAAGAAGAGGGAGTCAAGCTATTCTCCAAAGCACCTGAGAGTAGGACAAGAAGCAATGGGTGGAAACCAATCAAGGAGGAAAGCAACTTAGAACTAAGGAGAAATTTCCTGACAGTGAGGACAATTAATCAGTGGAACGACTTGCCTCCAGAAGTTGTAAATGCTCCAACACTGGAAGTTTTTATGAAGATGTTAGATAACCATTTGTCTGAAGTGGTGTAGGGTTTCCTGCCTAGGCAGGGGGTTGAACTAGAAGACCTCCAAGGTCCCTTCCAACTCTGTTATTCTGTATTCTATTTATTTATTTTTATTTATTTTAATTAGTCATATTTCTATGCCGCCCACTCTCTGAGGACACTGGGCAGCTTACACCAAAGACAGTATACTAAATAGCATATTGCCCCCAACAATCTGGGTCCTCATTTTACCCACCTCAGAAGGATGGAAGGCTGAGTCAACCTTGAGCCGGTGAGATTTGATCCGCTGATCTGCTGAACTAGCAGTCAGCTGAAGTAGCTGCAGTACTGCACTCTAACCACTGCGCCACCTCACCACCTTCTGTATTATTTCATCTCTGTTAGTGAGAATTTAATCCAGTATGGCTGTCCCTCTAGTTCTCTTCCCTTTTTGGGAGACAAAGTTGTCTACTAGGTTTATAAGAAATCTGTTTGATCTTCCACTAGGTGCAGAGTTTGTCTCCCAGTTGATGTCAGGGTAGTTAAATCTCCCATTACTATTGAGGAGTAGTTCCTACATACCTTAGATAACTGATTAACAAAAGGTTCATCTATTTCCTCTGGCTGGGTGGACCTGGGTGACCTGTAGTGTACGTCTGGGACAATGATGTTCTTTTTTCCCTGAAATATATATTGTGGTGGGAAACTCTGCTAACATAACAGTAGAAATGGAAATGAAGATTCTTTGGGTTCAAAAGACATGCTACTTTCCTGAAATTATAGAGAGTGGTGAGCTGAAGATGACAAAAGGTAGGGGAATGATGGAAAATAATGAAATATTACTTTTATTTTTTTAAAGAAAAATCAATGTGGCATATAACAATTTATTAAAGAAATCCTAAAACACTAAAGAGCTTGGGAGGACAAACATCAACCCTAAGAGAAAGTTCTTTCTCAAACAGCAGAAGAAAAACCCCTGCATTTAATTAGGCTTCTTCTCAGCAAACTGTGAGGTCTAGGACAACTCGCTGTAGCCAACTTGCCACGGGACAATTCAATGCTGTATTAATAGTTTTATTTAGTTACTTTTATTATTGGTGACTACCTTTTCATCAAAATTATTGTAACTCCTTTGTTTCTGGATTATTTTATTATTAATGGCCACAGTTCAGTTGAAATTAATTTAACTGTTGTATTTGTTGAATTGTCCCGCGGCAAGTTGGTTGTGGCGAGTTGGCCACTGTCCCATTCTGAACTGTGGTGTCAATTTCAATGCATTTTCTGCCTGGATTTCTCACTTTCTCCATTTCTTTTTTGAGGGGCAACAAGTTTTCTGACAAATTGTATTCATGGTTAATTCCGTGCTGATACACAAATGTGCTTTTTCATCTTTTCTCTTCTTAAAGAACCAGTTTGTCCCTAATGGAGCCCTGAAGGACTTGCCCGGCTATCAGAATTCCAGGTTTGGGTCCTGCATTGCCTCTGTGCCTGACTTGAACCAGGATTCTTACAGCGATGTAGTTGTGGGAGCTCCTCTGGAGGATGAGCATCAGGGAGCTCTGTACATCTTCCACGGTTATAGGGAAAATCTGATCCGGAGATATAAGCAGGTACAGATTCTCTGTAGGCTGTGGGACAAAGATAGAGAAGGGGTGATGGTTGGGGCCTACATTGGCTTCTGGGCTTGAATGAAATTCCATTCAGTTAATCCAGTATATTTAACATTGTTAAAATCTCTGCATGCAATGATTTTATTCTAGTGACATGTTATTCGTTTTATTCATATAACTTTGGGGTGGGGATCCAGGGGCTTTGCCCAAGGAGCCCTAGACTCAGCTGCAGGGGTGAAATGCTCCCGGTTCTGACCGGATCGCCCGATCCAGTAGCGATGGCAGTGGGTGGTTTGGAGAACCGGTAGCAAAAATCCCTCCCCACCCCCATGCCCAGGTGAGCCGCGCAATCATCAGAGGCTTTTTTTTTACTTTTAAAAGCATTTTTTCTACAACCTCTTAGGGAAAAAAATGCCTTTAAAAGCCTCTGGCAATCCCAGTTGAGTTGCCTGATCATCAGAGGCTTCTGAAAGCATTTGTTTCTGCAACCTCTTAAGGTTGTAGAAAAAATGCTTTTAAAAGTAAAAAAAATAAAGTTGGCCACGCCCACTCAGTCACATTACCCTCCCACCAAGCCACGCCCTCAGAACCGGTAGTAACAAATTTTAGATTTCACCCCTGCTCAGCTGGTTCACCCCCGCAGTAGGGGACAGACTATTGTTATGAATGTGAGACTCGACTAGAGAGAATTAACAGAACAACAATAGATCTCCTCATATATTTCCTAGAAGCCGGTTAGTTAGAAAAGGATGAGGCTGCAGGTCATTGGTGCCCCTCAGCTAACTGCCAGCACTGGCACTCTGAATAAACTATACAATTGGTGCCTTAAACCTGCACGGAAATACCGGCAATACGCGACTTGCAAACAGTCACTTAGCAACCATTCAAAGTTACGATGGAACCCCCCAAAAGCTGCTTGTTATCTTATTTCAAAGTTATAACAGCTGCACCCTCTGCAGTCAGGTGATCACATTTTGGGTGCTTAGCAACCAGCTCACTTTGATGGCTGTTCACAGCATCCTGCAGTCATGTGACTACAGTTTTTAATGGTCTTTTCCCCCAATTTCCAGTAAAAAGGAAAAAAAATAGAGACAATTCATTCACTTAAGATTGCCATGTTCACTTAACTGGTTGCTGGTATCCTTAAGATTTATATTGACTGTTTCCCTATGACTGTCATTAAGTGCTGTACCTTATGACTCTTGACGAATGTACCTTTTCTTTTAAGTACTCCGAGAGCATATGCACCAAGACAAATTCCTTGTGTGTCCAATCACACTTGGCCAATAAAGAATTCTATTCTATTCTATTGTACTAACAATCACCACAAAAAATGCTGAAAAATTGGGTCTGTTCACCTTGATCCATTTAACAACCATAACAACTACTTCCAGGCTCATTTATGGTCATAAGATGAGGACTACTTGCCTTTGTATTTTCTCACATTGGCAATATAATTTGGTACCCGGTTCACCTCTTATTGATGATGTAATCTAGTTAAGCAGGTGGATGAGTTCAAGCAAATGGCTCTGATCTCTGCATCTTTGGTTGTTGCATCTACTGATATGACACAAATAGTGTTCAAGCAGGTTTTGCCAGCATATGGTAGCTACTTCCGGAAGAAAGAAAACGCCTGAAAACAAAAACCCGAGTATTCAAAACAGCCATCATGCTGATCTTGTCCTATCATGCAGAGGACATGTTGTATGCTCAGGACCTCTAGAGCCTGAAGTGTTTCAAACAAGATATTTCCTCCAGTCCTGGGCAGTGATGGTGGAATGAGGACTTTTCCACATTTGCACAGCTCATAACACACCACAGTTGAAAATGAAATCACGTCTTTATTGCTCTGGATGTATCAGCAGAACACACCTACCTGGCTGGAAAGTCGCAAAATAAAATGCACTGCCCCAAAGAGCTGGATTAGCCATATAGAGGCTAAGAAGCACAGCAGCTATGCTGTAATGTGCATATATGCTCATTTTTCAGATCTCAGGGAATCCATGCAGGAAAAAAATCACAAGAAAGGTCTATTTTGCATATGGAAATATCACAATGCAGTTCACTTCTAGCCTACAAAAATCTGTTTTACAACATTTACAACAGCAAAGCCGCAGGACAGCAGATGAGTTGCAACACATGAAAATTCCCACCACTGCAACTGCTAGTAGTGCATGGGGTGCAAAGTTCAAAAAATGATGTCTGTCTTTGGCAGTCATTGCCTCTTGCTATCCGCTGTCCTACAGCCACTAGGGCCCTTCTGTTGGTGCATAAATGAATGAATGCTGCAGACAAGCCTCTGGAAAGAAACTCCCCTTGGAACGCCCAGGTCCTTTAACTGCAGGACGGGATTAAGGGAGCCAGATTCACAGGGATTTTCTTTAATGTATTTAATGTCAAAGATTAGAGTACCAAATCTTGGGAACGGAGATAGGAAGCCTTTAGGTCTCCTTTATGAGTGTGCCCCTTGAGGCAGGCTTCTTTGAAGCCTTGAGTCTCTCTTTCCCATCTGGTTGCAGGATATTTCTTACTTAAGCCAGTCAGTCCCTTTCTCATCTTCTGTTGGTGTTTGAAGATGCTTCTCCTCTTTGTTGTTCCCAAAATGGGTCCCAGCCTGGCGCCAAAAGAATCTAGGACTGGATTATCCATTTTTCTGAATGGGGATGCAGCATCTGTCTAGGCCTAGAGGCCCCAAAGAGGAACAAGTGGCAGATTTGTTAGTTGCCCTTGGACATTCCTGGCCCATTACACATCTACATCCCACAGCAACATATATTTGTTGGCTGCAGAAGAATATTTACGAGATTTACAGTGGACCTCTTCTCTTTTCTCCTTATTCTTCCCCAAAACAACAATCCTGTCAGGTAGGCTGGGATAGGTTGATACTGACTGCCCTAGAGACACCCAGCAAGCGTCCACAACAGTGGCTGGTTTTGAACCCAAGACTAACAAGTGTAACCTAAGGCTCAAAAGTCACAAGAGCCCAAAACCCCTTTGTGTTCCAGCACATTGTAATTTACCAGATTAGAACTGTGGAATGTAACTGAGGAGGGAATTATTAAATACAGGGAGAGTAACTGAAATGGATGCCAACTGGCTTTTTGTCATGGCCACACCTAACCAGCTTTTCAAGGACAATCTTCTCTCACTCATCTAGGGACTCTGGGAACTGAACTCAAGCAATAGGCCTTGTACACAGAGGTATAATTTGGGTGTGCATGCTTGTTAAAATACATAATTGCTTTTGCACAGCTATGTTTAAAGAAAACTATTTTTTCCCTTGGTCTTCCAGAGAATTGCAGCTGCTGACCTTTCTCCTGGCTTTATGTATTTTGGGAGCAGCATCCATGGAAACCTGGATATGAATGAAGACAAGCTGGTGGATCTTGCTGTGGGCTCCCGTGGAAGTGCTGTCCTATTATGGTTGGTCATATTAAATATAAGACAGAGTGAAACTTGGGGGCGGGGGGCAAGAAGGAAGGGAACAAAACCTAACCAACACCCCGAGTTAGTAGGTGTCCATTATTAGGAGGCTAGGGAGTATGAGTGCAAGCACTGAGGTTTTAGATCCATGCCCCTCCTGGCTTGTGAAAGCTTCCCGGGTGATGACATGCGGATGGCTTCTGGCAGTGATTAATGCTTCCCTGTGGGAGGGTGTGGTACCCTAGCATTTTAAGGAGGCTGTGGTCCACCCTCTTCTCAAGAAGCCATCATTAGACCCTATTGGATAATTTTCACCTTGTCTCACCTTGCTTTACTATAGCACACAGGCTGCAGCAAGGAAGCTTTTCCCCCTGGTGAATCCAAAGCTCTGAGACCCCCGCCCAGTAATGCATTCCTGGACTGGCTCAAGATAGCAGCCGCCTTTCCCTCTTCCCTATCAGGTCCCGCAGTGTGGTCCAAATCAATGCCACCCTCCAGTTTGAGCCCTCCAAAATCAACATCTTCACCAAGGACTGTGTTCGGAATGGGAAAGAGGCCACCTGTCTGTCAGCCTTTGTTTGCTTCACTGCCGTTTTTCTCTCCGCTCATTTTCAGACAGCTCATGTAGGTAAGTGGCAGGGGCTGCCCTCCCCTGAGGGCTGTTCTCCCCATTGGGTGGCTGTATTGCTCCCCCAGGGAGGGGGCTTTTATTCAGGACACCATCCTGTCCCAGACGCTCAGGGCAGGGCACCAGGAGATGAAAGAAGCATTTAAGGGGAGAAAAGCCTGAAATTGTCACCAGAATCCAGTGGTTACAAGGAAGCCCTTCTTAACTTCTTCCCATCACTTCAATTTAATCATCACTTGCTTATTTAAAGTAAGTTTCCTATTTAAGAAGTATATTTATAAGACAATTGTGGCAGTTTTTGGAACCACATGTAACAGTAAAGGAATGGGGCTGTAGAAGGAGTTAACGAAGTGTTCACAGAGCACTGAGTCAGGTCATGAAACGTCTGCAAGAAAACAAACCAACTCAGAGAGCACCAAGGGCCCCTCATTTCAACCCTGCACTATAAATATTCTCCCTTATATTAAATCTCATATTAATAATTAATTTAATTAATTTAATTTAATTAATTAAATTTATATGCCGCCCTGAGTCTTCGGAGAGGGGCGGCATATAAATGTAATTAATTAAATTAAATTAATTAAATTAATTATTAATATGAGATTTGAAATAACTTGAGATTCTGGTCTCAAGTTAGTTCTACGTTTTACTTCACGTTGGGGAATAAATTATTTAGCCTCAATCTTCCTTTATTTCAGCGTTGAATTACAACCTCACCATTGATGAACGACGATATATTCCCCGAGCCTACCTGGATGAAAATGGAGAGCGACTTGCCCACAAGGCAGCCACCTTGCTTGCTGGGCAGGAACATTGTGACAGGATGGATTTTCATGTCTTGGTAGGGATTTTCTTGTTGGGGAACTGCACTCAAATTTTGGTTTTGTCTCAAAAGAGCAGAAAAGATTGTCACCTCTCAGGGATGCCTGTAGGCAGGAGGTGTTGGAGGAGTAAGCTTTGCAAGGTTTTTAGACAGGGCAGCACCTTGAAGCTCTGCCCCTTTTGGACAGGTGTGCCGATTTTGGCTCCCTAGTGGATGCTCCTGTTTTCAATCCAGCTGTGTGAAACATTTCCTGCACGTTTTTTCACAAAATAGCAATAGCACTTAGACATACATATATACCGCTTCACAGTGCTTTACAGGCCTCCCTAAGTGGTTTTAAATTGTCTTAGGAAAGCTTGAGCATTTGTATAATTATAAAAGACTGGGCATAAAGACAAAAATAAGAAACCATCCAGAGCTTCGTAATTAGGATGGTATAAAATAAATGAATAAAGAAACAAAATAAAAATGAAACTAAGACAAATCCTGTTCATTTGAACAGTTTAACACTATGTAAACCCAAAAGTTAGTTCTCTAATCAGATTAAGTGTGTTGAGCACACTCAGCAGAAGGATAATGATGATTACCTGTTCTTTTTATTCTTTCAGGATACAGCTGATTATGTGAAGCCAGTGACTTTCTCTGTTGATTATGCCCTAAAGAATCCTGAGACTGGACCAGTGATGGATGATGGGTGGCCAACTTCACTGAAAGTTGCTGTGCGTAAGACCTTCTGATCCTGGAGTGAGGGTTGAAGAGGGTTAAATTTAGAAACCATTGCAAGGAATGTTTGGCTTAGTTATTGCTTTGCCTCCATTACCTGCCTGGTCCAAAGCCTCATTTAGCACAGAATAAAGAACAGTCATCTGAGATGAACGAATCAGGAAGGGAAGGTACCCAGGAATTGTAGAGTGAGAAAGAACAGAGAGCAGAGGATAAAGAGCCTTTTTCGTGGAATATTTACAATGTAGTTTAAAATCTGTATGAAATTAATAAATAACAAAAAACAATATGCACTAAATTTAGTTGAATGAGGCTGGAGGCCCCCTTGTTTCACATGTTTCTACATTTCATGGAGCAAAATTATATCATTCTAATACAACCAAATCTGCAGAAAGTAAATGGCCCAATCTTTAAATCCAATCCACTTTATAACATGACATGCCCTATACTATTATAAAATTTTGCAAGGATTTATGATTTTTTTTTTTTAAATTTGATTTATATGCCGCCCTTCTCCGGAGACTCAGGGTGGCTTACAATGTGTTAAGCAACTGCTTTCATTCTTTTGTATGTTTTATACAAAGTCAGCTTATTGCCCCCACAAACTGGGTCCTCATTTCACCTACCTTAGAAAGGATGGAAGGCTGAGTCAACCTTGAGCCTTGGAGAGATTCGAACCAGCAGAAATTGCAGGCAGCTGTGTTAATTACAGGGTGCACTAAACCCCTGTACTATCAAGGCTCTTGATAGAGGGCATTCTCAAAGGAGGGGGCACAATTTGTTCTGGAATTTTCTGGCTCTTCAATTCCAGTCCAAGAACAGACATCTGAAACAACTAAATGGTTTCCAGGCCCCAGAAATTAGTTTCAGCAACAAATAAATATATGGATATGGATATGGATAAGGACATAATATACAGTATGTGTGTACATATAGATAGATAGATATACATATATATCTATATTTATACACACACACTCATACACACAAACACACATCAGCATGAGGCTAGGGTACACAGGATTAAAAAGCATAAAGGATACATCAAAATATAATTTTATATATATGTGTATATATATGTGTGTGTGTGTGTGTGTATATATATGGGCGTGTATTGTGTGCGTGTGTATGTGTGTATATATATATATATATATATATATATATATATATATATATATATATCAGAGTCTATAAAATCTAAAGGGAGGAGAAGGAACATTAAATGGATGGAGGGGAACATGCAGCAAACTAAATCTATCACAATATAAAACATTCTTAAATAACAAAACTAAATGCTCATTAAAATTAATTTATGGCACAGGTCATCATCTGCCAGATTTTTAAGCGCTACTGCATAAAACCTGGCAGCATTATATGTTGTACCATGGTTAGCAGTTGAAAGCAGGGAAGTGTGGAATTGTACTGTGTGCCCTGGATATTTGTAAGGTAATGGTGAGATGAGGCTAGTAAGAATGTCTCTGAGGTACAGGCACTGGGAGCCCGTGCTGTGAGTGTCCAGAATCACAGGGCATTTTCTCTCTGGCTAATTATGGGTTGTTAGTCCCAAAGGTGCTTTTTCAAAAGGCGACTGGACTTTGTTTTTCCTTGAGCTTCTCATCCAAGAACCTTCTGCAGTTCTTCTTTGGTGAGAAGCAAAACATCTTCAAGGAAAAACAATGTCCAGTCACCTCTTGAAAAAGCACCTTTGGGACAACCTTGACTTGGATGACTGAGAATCTCCCCAGACAAGATTTAAGATTTCTGTTAGGATTTCTGCTTTGCCTTAGTGAGGGGACAACATTTCCCAGTCTTTCCTTGAGTCGTGCATAACTTCAAGCATTGAGGATGCCTAGCCTAAACCATCCAACCCTTGTCCTCTTCCCAATAGGTCCCATTCTGGAATGGATGCAACGAAGATGAGCACTGCATCCCTAATTTGGTTCTTGATGCTAAAGCAGATGTCCCAACTGCAATGTGAGTAGATCTTCTGGAGTGAGCCTCAAGTTAGAAGGATCTGGGAAACCAGATTGCATAGGTCATTTTTGAGAGCTTTGTGGAAGGGATGTCACCCTGAACTGGTGAATCTCTTTCTTTTCCTTTGTCCTGAAAGAGCAGAATCATCCTCTGTGAAGTCACATCTTCACTCAGGCTGCTGCCATCACCATTGTACTCTCAGCTGCCAATTGGCCTAACCAGCCCCCTCCCCCATCTCTTGACTGCAGTCTATGTGTGCAAGGGATTGACCTCATACGAATTTCCTTAATGCTCTTGCAGACCCTGCTATCTGGCTGCTGCCATAACATTTGCTCTTTTCATAGGGAATATTGCAGACGGGTCCTGAGAAAATCTCACTCGGATTGCTCCGCCTACACGCTGTCTTTTGATACCTCCATTTTTGTCATAGAGAGTGCCAGAAGGAGGGTAGCAGTAGAAGCCCTGTTGGAGAACAGAGGAGAAAATGCATATAACACCATTCTAAACATTTCCTTCTCAAGAAACCTGCAGTTTGCAAGCTTGATTCAGAAGGTAAGGCTTTCCCTAAACATTCTCTTGCAGGAGAGAAGGCTGATAATTCTTATGATAAAAAAATCTCTTTCTGGCAGCCCCTGAAGCCCCCACTGTCCTGCTAGTTGAAAATTAAGAGCAGAGTTCTTTTGAATTGGAAAATGTTCAAAAACAGTATTGTGTACTTTAAAATAGATGTAACATTTTTTTTCAAGCTCTCCCCAAGTTTGACTTGGATTGAATGAGATGCTCTGTGCATCTAAGAATAAGCACTCATGCATTCCTCCAGTCCCCCACACCCACACTGGTTTTAGCCACTTTTTAATTTTATTCATTTATCAGATTTATATATGGTAGCCACCTATCTCACCAAAAGTCACACTTTGCTGCAGCTCCTGACCACCCAAAATTTGCTGTGTGCTGCCTGACATCAAAAGGTTGCCCATTTCAAACATCTTTAATGATTTATTTATTTATAATATTGATTTATTTATAAAAGTTATTGGCCATCCATCTTACCCTAGGGTAACTCTGTGGCCTGTGATTTGGGAGTGATGTCTTGTCCTGAGGTTCTCATACCCTCCTCCATTTGCACCCTGGGTTTCTTCCTCCACCCCTGGAACCTTTCTTTCCCTACAACCTGTCTCAAAAAAATGCCTGACTTATTCCTGTTTGGCATGGAGAGAAATGCTTTGCTCTTCTTTCTGCGAGCAGGGAATTCACCAAGTGCAGTTTGCCTGCTTGTTTAAAGTTTAAACAAGTTTTCTTATAGTGAGGAGGTGAAGACTTTGGTGGACAGGTGCAATAAAAATAACTTGATTTTGAATGTTAACAAAACAAATAAGATCATTGTTGATTTTAGAAAAAGCCAGCTTGTCATACTCCACTCAGTATCAAGGATGCAGCTGTAGAGGTGGTCAACAGTATTAAGTATCTGGGGGTGCAGATAACTAACAATCTGACTTGGTCTCTCCACGCATCATCCTTAGGGAAGAGTGCAAAGCAGCCTCTGCATTCCCTGCATCGGATGAGGAGAACACATCTTTCTCCTTCTGTCCTGGCCACATTTTTCAGAGGCACTATTGAGAGCGTTTTAACAAACTGCATCACAGCTTGGTTTGCTGGCCGCAGTGCCTCAGATAGAAAGTCCATTCAGAGAGTGGTAAGGACAGTCAAGAAGATTATAAGAAGCTCACTTCAGGATGCTGCTTATAAGTACTATGTCCTTAGAGCTCAAAGCCTTGTTAGAGACCCCACAAACCCACTTCACAGTCTGTTTCCGTGGCTCCCCTCTTGGAGGAGGTATCTATAGCAGGACTGCTAAATTCTGGAACAGCTTTGTTCCTTATGCCATCCGTCCTGGAAACTCGCAGGATTCTTTTTCCCCCGCCAAGTATATGTATACATCTGAATTAGACTGTGATGTTTCTCTGGGTCATATATGCATATGCATGTGGGTATATGCATGATGGTTATCTTTTGAGAGCCAAATGCAACGAAATTTCATTTTAATGTTTGTTTGGTGTTGTTTAATGTTTGTTGATTAGTGTACATTTAAACTGACAAAGTTTATACTCTATTCTACTCTACTCTACTCTAAACAATTGCATATGATTGTTCAATAATCACAGAAGACAAGTGGAATTTCTGAGCCTTCCCCTTGTTGGGGAAGATGCCAGGGAAGAGGAAGCCTTCGCTGACTAACCAATGTGAAATTTTGATTTTTTTTTAATCCTTGGAACTTACATTTGAGCCTTTTTAACCAGAATAACTTATCTTTATGGATGAACTAAACCTCACATTACGACATCACTCTTTCCATTCTTTGTGAAATTTTGTCCTTTCATTGTTTTCGTTTTTAGAAGATCAGACATCCAGCCCTTGATTATCAATGGAGGCCGAGTGGAGCAAGTGGCCAGTTTTAAGTTTCTGGGTGTTATCATAAAAGAGGACCTGACCTGGGGTGCTCACATTGCAGCACTGGTCAAAAGGGCCCAGCAGAGATTCTACTACCTGAGACTTCTCAGGAAACAACAACTGAATGGAAAACTGCTGGTGACCTTCTACCGCTGCACCATAGAGAGTATTTTAACTTACTGCACCTGTGTATGGTTCGCCAATTGCACAGTGGCAGGTAGGACAGCGCTCCAGAGGGTCAACGTCATTGGTCATTGGTTGCCCTTGCCCCTCTTTGGAAGAGCTTGATAGCTCCCGCTGCCTTAAGAAAGTTCAAAACATTCTTAAAGATGCCCATCTCATCTTGGGCGCCCTTTTTTTGAACTATTACCATCTGGCAGACGGTACAGGATAATAAAAACAAGGACAAATAGGCTGGAAAACAGCTTCTATCCCAGAAGATGGCATTTAATTTCATTGTACAAATTGCAATGACAATAAAGTAAACTTAAACTTAAACTTAGAAGGCGAACACCCTGCAGAAGTATTTCCG